AAATAAATGTGACAATGAAAACAGAAACTAACAATGATGAAGCTGCGGTTGCAACATGAGGCTTTAGAAAAAGTGGAAGGTTGTAAAAGGAGCTTAAAATGCAAATGAATGCAAGCAAATATCTGATACCTGCAATGCTTATGCAACAAAGAGGAAAAAAAGTCAGTAGTTGAAAACTGTCAGCTGTCTAATACTGCCTTAATGATTTTGCTGTGCAGATTCAGTCTCTGCTTTAGCGGCTCTGGAGTGTATTGTTTACATATTCACCCAGCAAGTGAAAGATCCCCAGACACACTTTTAAATGGAAAGCTTAAAAGAAAATTAATTTGATAAAAGTCACCTAACAGAATAAGTAATAATATTATGTTGAATGATAAAACGTTTCTCCATCCAGATGAACAGAATCAACCTTTTGGGAATATTATGAATGTTTGTGGCCTTGTGTTTTGTGCAGATGTTCTGCTCTTTGTAGAAACTTACTATATAGCTATATTATCTCATGATGTTAGATGTGTTATCACTGTAATTTTCATAATGCTACAGTCACCATTCCAAGTATTCCTGAAACACCATGGCCTTCAGCTTTTGTGCTCCTGGCTGGTTCAAAAGTTCAGGAGTGGATTAAAGAACTGAAACATAAAACCTGGAAACTGTCATTTATTTTATATATATTTATATATATATATAGAATTCCCCACTCACCCCTGTGGGCGGTCTATCCGTCAAGCTCGGCTCCTCAGGTCCTGTTCAGTATCTTAGCTGTATACTGTATATTCAAAAGGCTACTGAGTAGTCTTCACTTTATCATCAAACATTAAGTTCACAAGCAGTGGCGGTCCTAGCCTGTTAGGCGCCCTGGGCGAACACCCCCTCTGGCGCAGCACTCCCCTTTCGACGGCTTGTGTGTGAGACTTTAAATCATCAAACTGTAAATTTTAAATTTTAAATTGTTATTGATCCCTTTGCCCCGAGTCCTAAAGTGTGTATTTATTTTCTTACTCTTCTTATATTTATTGTTTGTTTATTTGCACTGCTGTAACTGGAGCCT